CTAATTCCTTCTGACCCAGTAGTATTGACGGTCTTTAATACAAATGAACTTATTACAAGGGTTGTCATATCCTTGTGGTTTCGCTTAAAGTTAACTGGTAGCCACGAGGCGAAGTGTGGGCGTCTAAAATGTAAGAGGATGGTATTCCATGCATAAGTTTCCATAACATGATGCAAAGCAAAGACTGAGATGTGAAAATGAAAATGTTCGAGATGTTAACAAAAATGTCACTTTTGTAGTGAAGTTTACAAATGTATCCGAACTTGCACTTGCGCAAACTCATCTTTTGAAATGAGCTCATCAGCTGCAGAAAGAAAAGAAAAAACGAACACACATCGTAATTAATAAATAGGTGAAAATAAATCCAACTAATACATCTTTCCAAAAAATATGACTAAGTGGACAGAGTGGCAAATTATAGGCTTATGATAAAATAAACATGAAAATAGTCGATTTACAAAATTAAATATACAAACAAAATATCAAGATGGAAATCAAGAGGTACCAATATCAATCATTAATACCACCACTACTACTACTACTACTACAACTAGTACTACTGAAATAGTACTACTACTACTTCCACTACCACTACTAATACATATTACTACTACTACTTTCAATAATAATGTGGATAATACTTAAAAATGTAAACAAATATGTATAACCCAAATAACTTAAAATAGCAGACTAAATAAATGAAGAACAAAATCGGTACAGTGAGACAGGTTTGTATTGAGTGGAGGATTTTTTAATGTAATACGAGTAGCCATACAATGTCCATTTATCATTAGAACGGTAATGTATTTATTTACTCGTCAAGACCGTCCTCTTCGTAATTTCCACATCCTTCGAAATTTTAATCTACTATAATAAAAAGAAATTAGACAAATTAGGATTATCACCTATCCTACATTTAAATTCAATATTTCCTGGTTCCAAAAGCACTCACCATTATTGTCGTGTCTAGTCAACAATGCCCAGAAGTCACCGACTGAACCGCCCTCTAGCGACCATTCAATGACAGACACCTCACCGTCAAGGTCCAAATCGAGTTCGGCGAAGACTTCGGTGTTCGAGATCCATGACGGTGTTGTGAGCCCGTCCTCCTCTCCGATTTCCTGCTCCACGGCTACACCACGACGGAATCTGAGAGATGGTAGAAAAAAATCATGCAAATAATAATCAATATTCTATTGTATTCAATAATACCAAAAGGGCATTATGTCGTCCTGCGTCAAAACTGCAGCTTCTAATTTTTGATTGCCCTTTTCATTCAGCGCGGCGTTATTTTCTTGACTCATTGAGTCAGGTATGTCATTGTTTACAATGAGCCTATGGCGTAACTCCCAACCGTGTACCCCCCCCCCCCCCCCCCCCCCCCGTCCACTACCATGGAGAAAAGGGATAAACTTGCATTTCAACTGAATAAACGGAAAAGAGAGGGAAAGAAAAGGAAGAAATAGGGAACATATATTTTTAAAAAGATGTTACGACATCCTCCTACACCCCACCCTCTCCCAAATCAATACCCGTGTTAATTTGCATTTCATGATCATCCACAGAGCAATACTGGGGTGAGGTACACATCCAAGCTATGCTACTACGGAGAGTAAATGTAATTTGAAGAACTGAGGTAAAAAAAAAAAAAAATTACATCAATGGCGACGCATTGAAACGCATTCCCTTTATACATGTACAGTTGGGCATTTGTGCAGAAGTCATTTTCAGAAACCTTGAGGCTGGATATTATTAAAGGAAATACATGTTGATCTCACTTTTCTTTCTCAGGATATTTAAAGTAACCTTAAACTTAACCCTGTGGACTACTTTGGATCAATGTCAAATAATAATCCAGGGACCGAAAACCGAAACTGGTTCTCCAATGTGTACAGTTTTGTTCGCAGTCATTCACCCAAATAACACCCACTCAGGTTAAGTCAAACATTTTTGTTCTATATTAGAATGACGGAGGTGAATGCAGAACTTGGTATATTGAATTATAACACTATTAGGTGATGGCTGCCCCAATAGCATGAAAAACGTTCCCAATTTCCCATTACATTAACCTATTCGGTGTGATGCTACAATGAGCTTTAGGAAAGTTAGTTGAATTCATTATCTGATTGATATCAATTGACAAAGTGATTGGCAGATACAATTTATAAATTAATAAATAAGTTAATATGCAAGTATTCTTGTCGGTTTAGCAGTCGTGAGACAAAATTAATACTCATTGAACACGAAATACTAGTTTATTTTACATTGATTTGTTGCACAATGTCACTATCATACGTACGGCGCGTCGAAGGGGGGGGGGGGCGAAGGTGCACACACGTCAATGACGTAGTACTACACCAGGCATTTAGACGCCTTAATAATTGTTCATCGTCATCTTCTGCATGATGTTATTCTTCTTCTCCTTTCTCGTCGTCTTCTTGTTCTTTTTATTATTCTCATATTACTTCTTCTTGTACTTCTTCTTCTCCAACATCATCATTTTCTTCTCATTCTGCTCCGTCTTCCGTTTCTACATCTTCCTCTCCTTTTCTTTATTTCTCTTCTTCTCCCCCTCCGCGCCTTGTTCTATATTCTTCTTCTCATACCCCTCCTCCTTCGATCTCTCTTCCTCCTTCATTTTTTTCTCATCCCCCTTCCTGCTTTGATCTCTCTTTCTCCTTTTCTCCTCCTCTATTTTCTTTTTTTTTCTCATTCTTTTTCTTCTCCTCCCCGAAAGAGGTTCCTCTTTCTCTGTCTTCTTTAGATTGCGATTGGTGTATTCAGATTTCATGCATTGATGCATGCACGGCCTTCTTCTGGACATCTGCCTAACCATGCTTTACACAAAATTCCCTCATGTGCTTTGCGGCAAAAATGTTGGATTAATGATACACATGCAGCAGAAGATGACAAAGAAGGGGCTTACCGTGGGTGTCGTACACGTACTCCCACCACATTTTTCTTGTCGTCGTACGTCGGCGCGACCTGTTCGATCACGTTTGGCTTCGAACCGCAAGCCTGCGTCAAGGTAAGGCTGAACAGCAACAGCGTCGCAGCAAGAAGCATGTTGATGAGAACGTTGACGGCGTGGTGGTGGTTCATGTTGACGGGTAGATGTTGCCTTGCAAAAGATGACTAAATACGGATAGATAGAGGATAAAAAAACAGTATGGAGTTAGACGTTGCAGCGATGCCCTGTATGCATGTTGTAGTGATAATATAATGCGCTGATTGTATTACTAGCCGAAAAGCGCCACGCGGCTACGAAACTGCTCGCATCTTTGGCCTATTCGTATCGAAGATGATAGCAAAACCGCGTGTCAATTATGCGAGAAAGCTTCTCTGTTTCCACCATGAGCAGTGGCATAGTGTGGGATACAAACATTAAAGGGATAACGACATGGGGTGGGGGTACTACTCCAAATTCACTTGTGACATGCAAATTAAAAAGGCTGTTAATTATAAGGGGAGGTCGTACAGTAGCTTATCTTTTCACGTTCCCGTTCACCCACCCCCTTTTTTTGTACTCTCTCTCTTTCTTCTTTTTTGCCCCTTTTTACCATTTGTGTGATTGGGGGATGTGCCCCGGGACCCTGACACTACGCCACTTGGCCACTGTTATTTGAGGACGCGTTGCGTCTGAATCCTGATTCTCCCAGCTCGTGATTAATAACAAGAACACACATGCGACGTCGAGGTCAAATTAATTAATCCACAGAACGATGACCTGTAGGGGGTCATATGCCCCCGAAATTGAACTACATGCATTTACATTAAAATGATCCAACAATCTCCGCGTTTCCCCCAAATGATTTGATACAAAATTAGGAGCAAGAATGAGTACAAATTACTATCTGAGCACATTTTATAATGTACCCAAAATAATTAAATTTCGGAGTGGGGAAACAAATTTGAGATAAAGAAGAATCTATAACATTGAACGTCGCTCTGACCTTCAAAGCGATTGGGTTTCATTTTTCAGTATAATCTGGAAACGCTATTACCTCTAATACATGTTTATCTCATTTGTAAGCAAGAGTTGCATACTTTCCAAATCATCTCTCCCTTCTTGTCCTTTCTCAAAATGTCGGCCATATAATTTCATTGATGAACAAGGATTTATACTGTTTACTTTAGAGAGGCACACACCGTTTTTATTTTAAAGAAATGCCTCAATAATGTTGTCCTTATTATTAGTATTGAAAAGGTATAGTTTTGTGTATATCACGACATTATTGATATACAACTTTATTGCAAGATTACTATCTGAGCACATTTAGAAGAACACACATCGTAATTTATAGGTGAAAATAATTCCAACTATACATCTTTCCCCAAATTATGACTGATTGGACATGGTGGCAAATTATAGGCTTATAATAAAATGAACATGAAGATATTCGATTGACAAAATGAAATATACACAAAAATATCAAGATGGAAATCAAGCTGTATGCATGAAAGAATGATCCTGAAATTCCTGATTAATGGACAAAAAATGTATGGTTACAAAAATGGTCGAATTTGGGCTAATCATGTTAGTTGCATGTCACGCTTGAGCACAACGAACCCTACCGAAGATGAACACCTGTCGTTATGCATCAAAGTGAGTAAATATTTGTCACTTTTTAACCAAAAATTTAAACTGTGAAAAATTGAGTGAGTTGTAAAAAGGAGGGAACGTTGATTGACCCATTTTATCGCCTGGATGCGGTGACCTCGTTATAACCTCTTGCCCATTTCATATCAGTTTCTCTCAATACACACCACGCTGGTGCACCGCGTGATACTTGTTTCTCCTCTTACTCGAAATTGAGTGATGAAGAGATCAGGGATTTATTGAGAGTGATATCAGCAACCATCAATCGAATTTTGAAAACAGCGAGACGATATTTTGATGGGAACGCTATTATGTCAAAGCGGAATAAGGTTGCCATACCCTCGCCTCTTTGGAACACTGCAGTAGCTTGATTGGTTGAATAAAGGCTCATTTTCGTGCGTTTGTAACAATGAATATTCTATGAATTCTATAATAACAAAATAGTTTCAAGTCCTTTACAATACACACAAAGCGCTGTAATTCACAAAAATTCAATACTTCTTTTTGCAGACCTTCAAACTTTCAAATTTGAATCTCTGTCTGTGACTATTACCAGGCTCTGAGCATAAGTTGGAATAATACTTCGTGTATGATCATAGTAAATATCTTTATCTATAGTATAATTCAGATAATGGATTTCAAATCTTCAACAATTTATTCGACACGTGATTTTGTCAAATGTATGCGCTGCAAAAGAACATTTTCTGTAAGCCTGTAACATAGACAAAAAGAACTTGCATCTTTACCAAACATCCTAAAAATTGATACAAAATAATAGCAGATCAAGTTGAAATAGATTTAACATCTGCAGCTTTTGTTGTGAGAAATACATTGGGATGGGGCTTTGAAACTCTTAAAAAGCAGTTCTCTTATTTAACAATTTCAGGGTTGTGGGATAAATTTAAAACAACTATTTTACTGGAATCACAAATCAATATCTTTACGTAACATCTGGCTCCGCACGACGCCAAAGCCAAGGCACAACCGAACACCCTTGCTCGTCTACTTTTATGTCTAACCAGGGGGTTAGGAGAGCTCCTTGGTCTAACTAAAGTCATGAAAATGTGTACAATTTATCCCGCAAATAGCTGAGAAGAGGTTGTTACCTTGCTTAAAAAAATGGAAATGAGGCTACTCGATCGCAGATTGTTGCTGGTGAAAAAAATATTTCCTCAGTCCAGTCGGTCTTGGTAAATTCGCCTTGAAAGGTTGGGGCTTAAAAGTCCAAAAGGTACGCTCGGTCATGTACAGAATTATGATGAGATCTCGCCTGCACTGTTCGGTATAACCAGATGTCCAGAAGACTCGAGTTTTAATCTTAAATGTGTCGAGATGAAGAAGGTTGTGACGAATTTCAGGAAAGAATTTGACCTAATATACCCTCGGAGTCCTTGGCGCGGAAACAGCAGACGACCAGTGACTGGATTATGAGTCGACGAGGGATATTGTCTGGGGGTTTCCCGTTAAGTGACGTCGGGCACGCGTGTGTGTGAATTAAAAAAGAGTGGAAGTTTTAAATCAACATGGTGACGTCAGAGATCTTAAGAGTGGAAGCGCTTATGTTGTTTCTAGATAATTTCAAGATGTTGCAGTTGGAGTAACGACCAAAGCGAGAGAGTGGGACTGCATGGGAGGAAGAAGTCAAGAAGAAACAAAATCTCAAGTGCTTAGCGGATGTGTTGATCGTATTTCCTGATCTCAAAATTACTATAACAGGTCTGATCTTAATAAAAGCGTGAACTTCCATGATGATATCAAACCCAAACGAAGCTTTTGATTCTGAACTCTGATTGGTTGAAATTCAAGTTGCTTTTGATTTCTTCATTGTTTTCCTGTAGTTGCGTTCGACTGGCATAGTTATGTGCGAGAGGTGCTTATTAAATATTAAGCTGAAGAATCTCAGATACTTTACCATCATCAGATCAAGAAAACATTAAAAAAAGCATTTCTGCAAATATTTTTGATTGATTGAGATGATTGGTAAGCTTTAATTTATTGTATAAACCTTATCAATTTCTTTTAGCAATTTCTGTCTATCCAGATATGACGAATTTCGGAAGTGAGCCATTGATGGGGCGTATTGCATGTCTATCTCTCTCTCTTTCAACATCATTTTATGTCCAAATATCGGAATTCGTCTTCAGTACAATAATTGATTTCTTCCTGGAACATTTGTGAGTATCATTTCGTATCAGAGAGTATATCAGTGGTCGACAACGGGGTAACAGAAAACCAACCTTTTCCTATTAACAAAAATGCCTTGTTTCATGGGACCATCGGGGTTAGATGAGTGCCTCTTTTCATCTTTTTCTCTCCCAATCCCTCTCTCTCTCTATCTCTCTCTCTCTCTCTTTCTCTCTATCTTTCTCTCGCAGACCGTGGTGCCATATGGGACTTAATGGAATGTATATCATATCGGACGGAAATAGAACTGCCGTTTCTAAATTTATCTAATCTGGAAAAGTTAGCTCCGGAAGTTTACAATTTTACGATTGCGAATGAGATGGAACAAAGGATATATTATTACAACCTTACAGATAAAACCCCACATAGTGTTGTTTTTTATCGAAACTTCTTCTTTTTTTGACTTTTTAATTGTTTTTTGTTTTCACAGTGCTTCGTTTCATTGGGATGTTTTGTGTCTCCGGATCTGTTTTTTTTTAATGCTATATCACACTTTCAATCAACCTTAGTTCCTTGAAATATAATCCAAACGTAATAGGGGAATCGGAAGAGATCGGGTGTATCATCCAAAGTGTTCCCGTTTTAAGAAAAACCCTTGCCATGTGTATTTTGGAGGTATCATAATATTTTATATTAACATAATCATTCTAATTATACACTTATTCAAATGTTTGTACAATGGCGACGTAAGCATTTACTATGTTTTAACATGAAGCAAAAACAAGGAAGTTATGAAGGGAAAAAATAAAATCCCCCACGCACACACTCTCTCTCTCTCTCTCTCTCTCTCTCTCTCTCTCTCTCTCTCTCTCTCTCTCTCTCTCCTCTCCCTCCCTCTCTCTTCTCTCTCTCTCTCTCTCTATTTTAACAATTTTAACATGTCCCAAAGAATATTTGCGAGCAGAGTCACTAAAGACACACTAACTAACATCAACCATATTTACATATCCCCGTTAATTTTGAATTAATTCACTACAAGTGAGACATCGTGGTTTAATTACAAAAATGCCTTTATTATGCAACTCTACATTACAGTTTTATTCCTAAGTTATCAATTCATTTTGTTTTCCTGTTAGGTTTCTTTACATGAATACAATAAATATATATACATAAGAAGTATCCAAAAACATCATGTATAACATTATTTTCGTAGTACTGCTAACAAAACAAGAGATGTATTATAACTGTTTAGTTTATCGATAGTATTAAAACTGATCAGTTTTTCAATTATAATCTAAGCTTTTAAAGCGCGTATATTCGTGACGTGTTGGCTCTCAATTTAGCTCCAAAATCACCTCGCCTCCGGCGTTCAACATGCACATGATGTGGGCCACTAAACAAGTGATGCTCAAATGCCCTCGTGACAACAAAGTTATTTCATATTGCCTCAAAATAAAGACTATTTTGCGTGTAAATTCATAAATATAATGCACCTTTAACTTCCAATAATTGGAGATTTCTTTCTAATTGTTACAAGCAATACACTCATATTTGACTGGTTGCGAAATATAAACAGCTATAATAAATACTGACTGCTCATGGCAATTGATTATTTTTCTAATCAACTATTAATTTAGTTACCTTGGTATGGAGAGAGAGACAACGCAGCCGGGTTCGAAATCATCACACTTTTATCAACGTAATTCGATAAGGCTTAAAATCTCAAACATTAAATTGCTTGCACTGTAGGGTTATGACAACATGGAACTACTAGTTATTCACAAAAATGTGACATCAAAATGACTTAAAAGCAAGAACTTATCTATACAACCACATGAGACATTGCTATGACATGATATTATTCCATCATGTCCGTATACAGGAATTTAAGAAATAAGAGAGCTTACAAAATTAGTTTCAAAATGTACACATAACCTAGCGTGGTCTAGACATTTAGTGGGCACTGACTTAATTAAGTGGCATGGTTTAACTCAATGGATGAGTTAACAAGGCCGTTGATTAGGGAATAAGAAGTGTTGAATCATCTTCTTGTCACGATTAATTTCCCCTTCTTCCCTTTTCTCTATTTCCTCATTTTGTCACATTTCTTCTGTGTTTTTTGGTAAACATCTGACCCCCCCCCCCCCCCTCTACCCAGTACCCCCTTACAGCTATGCCACTGCTTTAAATCAGTAAACTTCGGACCTTCATTGACATACACTTTTATGGCTAACGATCTCGGTCACTATACTGCGTGATGTGGTTGTCATATACTGGCTGAATATTTAGGTCCCGGACCGGAAATCCACTTTGGGGGATCACATCATATTGATAGATACATGTAGATATAGATAAATGGTTTATTAATGAAAAACATCATTGCGGCATAACAAAATAGCGATGAGTTTACATATATTCATTTTAAAATGACATAAATACATTTTTACAGACATTTAAAATAAATTGGGAAATATAAATTCAATATTTGATGCAGTTTGAATTTGCAATATGCAATATTTTTTGAATTTATAAGTTGAAAGTTGAAATTGTAAATGTTGGTATATCATAGTAAAGAAAGATTAGGAAAACGTGAAGGAAGGAGAAGATGAAGAAGGAGGAAATAATGGAACAGGAAAAAAAGAAAGAGAAGAAGAACAAGCATAAGTAAGAATAGAAGAATAAAGAAAAGAAAAAGAAACATAAACAACGTTTTGCCTGACTAGTGATTAACCTCCCTCCACAGAGAAAATAATAAACAGTCTATCTATTACTCACCCTCACCCCCCCCCCCCCCCCCCCCATGTGCACACGCACACACATGCATGCACAAACGCACCATCTGGCTGCGTGTCGACAGCAAAACATACTTTAAAAATAATAAAAACCTGCTAAAGGAAGTTTTGACAGTTACATCTCATTTACATGAAGAAAAAAAGTTTGAAGTGGAATCAACTCTCAAACACTGCTTTGGTGTTCATTTTCACAATAATTTGGAATGGATTCAACTAAAAAATAAGATATCCTTAATCAAAGTGTTCTTCCTTCACTCCGCATTCAGGGGACCTGCATGTTCTTGTTATGATGGAGGTCGTATGGGTCGTCGAAACAAAATGGAAGTAGGATTAGCTATAAAACAAGCAATGAATGTAATTCCCTTAGTTGTCCGTATCTTTGGCATCTGAAAATACACCATGTCCAATGTGTCATTATCTGAGTACACGAGCTTCGTAAATCTTCATAAATGAAGCGAAAAATATTAAATTTCGGATTTTATATCCGTGCAATCAAGAAGTCCCGACTGCGATTCAGACACGCACTTTACTCAACTCATTTTGTACTTGCACAATCTCAGATCTTGAAATCCGATCATTACCTGTATGATAAGAAAATGAAAGAGGGAAGGAGAGAGGGGAAAGAGATATTAATATCAATGACTATTTATAACTTTACATAATACAAAGCTGTATGTGTAATTGATAATTTGTGCATATGCTTTACAATATTTGGCAGGGTACCAATTTAATAGCACCTTTTTTAAAGATTTCCAAACAAAAATAGAGAGAGCATAAATGATAAAGGGAAAGGACAGATTGTGAGTGAGTGGAAGTATTGAGAATGTCAATGAAAACTGAAGAATAACTGTACGCCTGTAAAGCCCAAGGATAGAGGCAGTGCAGACATTTTTTAATAGGCCTTTTTTAATGGTAGAAGAGTAAGAAGGGGTATGGAATAACAACATTGATACTCACCATCTTTGTCGTAGATGTTTAAAAGCTTCCAGAAATCACTAACTGAATGGCCCTCGAGTGTCCATTCGATGACGGACACTTCGTCGACATCGATTTCCTGTTCGAGTACACGAACGAGCTCGTCCATCATGATTGATGCCGGTGTTGATATCAATGTTTTGTCGTCCTCCTCACCCACGCCAATCTCGCGACGAAATCTGAAAATCAAAATAATACAAATTATAATTGTTTTAAAGACTAGTGAATAAGGCCTTAAGCTGTTGCCCAACAAGGTACGGGGTTCGAATTCCTGCCTATACATCAGGAAGACGTCATTTGTATCGTACCGGAAGAGAAAAACCTAGGAAATAGATTCAGGGGTGTATACAACATTTTATGAAATAGGGGCACAATTCGGAAAAATATGTGCTCTGCCTCTTGGATTGAAAATTTGAAAAGGGATACATCTTTGGTTAGTGTACTTATTTCCTAAAAAAATGGGAGCACTTCATCTTTGTTCCCCCCCCCCAAAAAAAAAAAAAAAAATAATAAATAAATAAATAAATAAATAAATAAATAAATAAATAAATAAATAAATAAATAAATGAATAAATAAATAAATAAAAAAATAAAATAAAAATAAAAAAATAAATAAAAAAATCACAAGTGATGAACTGACCTAAATGTTCCAAATCCACGGTCTCCTGGCCTGGGTGTCGACAATTGCGGGTTCCCCTTGGGAGGGCACGCGTTCGTCAAGGAGGATAAGATGCAAGATAAAAGCGTTGCCGCCAAAATCAGGTTGGTGAACGTGTTGACGATCGTTTGGGGATACATGCTGCCAATTTGCGAAGTCACAATCACGAAAGAGATGTATCTGAGTACAAGGAGAGATACGAGGTAGATATTGAAAATAAATACTGCATTAGTTTTTCCGCTTGGGATGTCTTGCAACTGTAAGGCATATGGCCTACATCCTACCGTAGAGCGAGTTCACAACATCCAGTGTATGCCACGCACATGTAAATTGATTTATTCCTTGCACAAGCCGACTTTATCCAGGGGCCTTACTCCTTCGGTATACTTCGCGTGGCGAATGATGTATCAATCTCCTCCGCGGAGATGGCAAAGAAAAAGATGCGGTGTGTCTGTATCTCGTGGATAATATTATGCTAAAGCAATGCACCTCCCCTTTGCGATCTCCCGGCGTGCTTTAGGCTGTGCTCACTGAGAGGGGTGGTAACCTCAAATGCGGGGGTTTCAACCGCGAAGTTCTCGAGTTATAGTTATGACCGTGAACTCAAATTGCTGCTTAGGTCATATTGAATGAACTTTTACGAAAACGATACTTTAGGGGCTCTCTTCTCAGAAATTGGGTTGAGGGGAGAAGATCTATTTTATTTTCATTTCGCATCACGTCTTCTTTTTGTAGGCTGATCCTGTTAGTGGTTCCCGGAAACAAAAATATGACCCCCCCCCCCCCCTTTCTGGGCAACAGGTGCAGAACTGTATCAAAAGCACTTTGCCCCTCCCCCCATCATGTTTTCTGCACTCTTCGCCCCCCCCCCGCCCTTCCCTACTATTAAACTAACAAAGTGCTTTTGCCAGGAATTTAATGCATCGACCGCCAAATTATCGGATGTGTATAGATTTGCAAAGATAATGTAGGTGTGATTTCTTTGTTAACCCGTTGACTACTGCATTATCTAATTCCCATAGACTTAACACAGAGACCACCAGGTTCCAGTAAGCAATGGGTTCATGTCGGCTCAAGTGGTTTGCATGTTGCGAAAGGCAAACACAGTGTGGAAAGAGTTGTGTGTCCGAAACATCTCTGTAACATGGGATATACATTTTTCCATTGGATTTATACAATCAATAATGTATTCTCGCCAGGGGGTATGAGAGAGGCAGGATGAAACCTCTACCTCAAGATGTGCCCTTCCGCCATACAGAAAGTAAAGAAAACAGCCGGACAAAACGGATATAACCACCTAATATAACAATCGTGTTGCTTAGAGTTTCATTTAGTTCATCCGAACATCAACTTTTTAGTTTCTATATTTTTCGAGCGCTTGAAGTAGAAAAAAATTTTGGTTAAAGTGTAATTTTTGAATAAACTATGGTAGACATGTTAAGAATTTACCATTTCACTACACAAATAAAAGGTAACGTTCGCCCGTATAATTCAAAATTCCCGGGCGCTGCATATAATCAGCCCCTCCCCCCCCCCCCCCCACCTCCCTCCTGTTACCCTCATCATGCTTCTGGTAACATTAGAATCTTATGAGACAATAGCCTTACAATATGTAAAAAGACAATTTTAAAAATATTTGAAAGAATAAGGGGGAACCGGGAATCTTGGACATCAGTAAATACGATCTGCATATCTTAAAGATAAAGACCAGTTCTTGTCATATAATGCAATTGCATTATGAAAGAAACGTTGTGGAATCGATCAGAAAAGGTTGATCATCTAGCATATAATTAATGGTGTGTACTGCAAGGTTCTGGAATCATCAAAATGATAAGAAATTTGGCCCAGTCTTGGTAAAGTTACAAGCACTGTACACAGAAAGATGTATATGGGACTACGCACACATGCGCGACACGTGCGTAATATCTATCACGTCCAAATAGATAAACTAATTTACCAAATATATCAATAAGTAGGCGGCATCTCGGCAAAATTTGTATTATCACGTATTAGTCAAACATTTTCTTCCACATGATTGGTAATAAGAGCTTCCATTTCATTTGTTGAGAGGGAGGCGTTTCCAAAACTGGTCTTTACCTTTAATCCAGCCGCACACTTTACGATCTTCCTGCCATCCGATTTTCAAAAAATTTCAATTTGTATTAGATATGGGAATGTCAACAAACATCATCCTGAAATCATGAGGATAAGAATTCTTACAACTGGAATATGACTGTATTGAAGCCTTTAAGGGCGTGTTTATGCTTAACTTTTTCTGGCCAAAATCAGGCATCTGTTACGCGTTTAGTTTAAAACACGGTTGCGTCCTTTCTCACTTTTGTAGAATCACCGAAAAACGCCGATCGTAATGGGGTCAACGCACTGACCTCTAGTGGGTCTACGTAGCATGCATAGTGCAGGTTTGCGAATCCAGCTGCAATGCCAATTAGGGCCACCCAGGCAGAATTGCCTGGAGGAGCCAGAGAAGTGAGCATAAACAGTACACCGTGGAACTCCGATTACGATGAGCGTTTACAAATCGCTCATTCTGCCTTCAAAATTTAAGCTTAAACGCACCCCTAGTCTAGTCAGAATAAAAGCCAATTCTGCTTCAAATCGAAGAGAATCGCACTACTGGTATGACGTCACTATACTATCCTGAGCCAATTAAGCTTCTCCTTCTCGAAGGAAGCATGAAATCCCTCGAAATTGAGGTTTTATTAATTATATTGTATGACTATACAGATCATCGATCATTAGGATCTGTTCGAATATTTGTATCAATGCTACTGCATCTCTCTCTCTCTCTCTCTCTCTCAGTGCCATATCGTTTGACTTTGGTGATCATGCTGTTCCACAACCCTCGGCTCCTAGCCTTCTGTATTAGTACCACTCCCAGTTCTTTCACTCCTCTCTCTTCCAACAATTTCTGCAGACTGTCCATCCAAAGTATCCTCCTTCTTCCCCTACTCCTTCTTCCCACAATTTTTTCTGTCAAAGCAAGATTCTCTACTGCATATTTTTCCAAAATCGGGTCGTAGTCAGATTGCATGGTGTACAGTGGGATGTAGAGGGATGATGGATGAAGGATGAGGGATTTATTTTCCATATTTCCATATGTGAAATAGGATTACCATGACAGAGCCCATGATTAATCGTGCAGTATCACTTTCTCAGATGTTTCATTTTCAATCAAAATAACAGGTTCGGGTTCATCTTTGAAGTGTAATAATAGTTATGACTAAAGGCGGGGTGTAAGAACATACTGCATGGTGTGCAGACTTTAAAGGGGTGTAGGACACGTGTGACACCACTAGGTCTCAAATGGTGCCCCCTCATGGTTTGTTTGTAAGACACAAGTTTACTCAAAGTCATTGTACGCTGATTATGTCTCCTAGAGAAATAAATCGTGAAACAGTAATGGGGATTCATGACCCTCCCCCCCCCCCCCCCCCCTCAATGAATAGCAAAATGGGGGAAAGGAGAGAGAAAGAACGAAAAATGGAAAGAAAAAAGAGATAGATGGGTATTATCTAGATCTAGGTAAGATAGAAAAAGATTTAGATATTCCGATAGATAGAAAGCAGGAATAAAAAAGCAAAGGTAGAGGTGTTGCGGTCTAATGGATAAGTCTTTGGACTTTGAACCATAACGTGCAGGGTTCGAATCCCTGTCGCTACACGAATGCCATTTGGCAATACTTTAATCTTCATTTGCCACATTTCAACCAGGTGGAATAAATGGGTACCCGGCAGGAATTAGGTCATGAAAATGTTCAGGTGCTGTGATGGCAGCCGACAAGCAGTGCTATTGGTAATAACAATTGAGGGGACAGGAGTGGCAATGTGCCAGACCTGAGCGCTGTACAAGACTCCAATATTATTGTTATTGGGATAGATATAAAGGAAGAAAGAGGGAACATGATAAGAAGATTAAGTATTACGACTCCCTCTCACATTTCAACTATGTAAGACCAATACTCTGGCCCCACCCCCCCCCCCCCCATGACCATACTTTCGTTACGCCATAGTACTCTATCCAACCGTGTCTGACCACATCTGTGACCCCTTCACTGTTAATTTTTTTGTTTAACTTTCGATATATAAGCACATTGCAGATGTCTGAACGTTTGGAAGTTATGACAACCTTCTTGTTTCCCTTCAATCCTGTTTTTTTGTTAAAGTAAGGAAGGAAGAGGGGGAGTCTGTCCGTTTGATATGAATAACGAGACACCATAGTCTAAGCAGTGGCGTGGACATAGAGGCACGGGGGCATAGGGACACGTCCCCCTCACTGAATCAAGAGGGAAAACAAAAGGAGAAAGGATGACATTTGAATTAGATCAAAGAAGGTAATGTTTAAAATTGATGCTACGAGCCCCTTCCCATGCACTCAATCGACGGTCTTGTTATTTCGCATTCAATCCACATAACTCGACCAACCCCAGTGCACCTCCGTGCCCCCTAAATGGCTAAACCGACGCTGCTACGCCAATAACTGGCTGAGCGCTTTCGTTCAACCTCTATAAAGTACGACTAGACAATATCATGTATACGTATATTGTAATATTTTATGTCGCAATATTCAAATATTCAGAACTTGACAAGTATACACTTGCCCATAACGGTGGAATAAATTTCATTTACCTCTTTTCATGAAGTTATTGCGACAACGTGGTTTTTTCTCCATAGATAATGTTTATACACTCTCAGAAGCGTATTCATTAATCCAAAGAGACATTAAGATTGATCAATAAAGTTCTGAGAATATATAACTGTAACTATCGAGAGTATACCATATTGTCATAATCTTTTGAAGTTAGAAATACTATGCCAAATTTATTGGGGTACAGTGTAACTAAAAATTTCTACAGCTAATACGGTTAGCCACGATCACACAAACTCACGATCAAAAGAGCAATAATGGCCCTACCCAAGAGGGTAAATTTGAAACTCAAAAGGTATTTCCATTAAAAGCTGCATTGGTTCGCTAAATGAAATAGTTGAATTAACGACCCCACTGGAAATAAGTTCTCGAGCTTTCGTGGGTTATCCAGTTCAAGCTGACTTAATTTTGATCTGTTATTCTAGTATATTGTTGTATGTTGAAAGCTTGGCGAGTAACAATCAATCAACCAATCAATCAATCAACGTAAGAGTGTGATGAGCAGAAGACGATAAATTAACACCACCATTACATAATATTGAATACACCATCTTTTAAGAAAAAATTCATCGTTTACCACTTAAAGTTTATTCCCTAAGAAAGAAATACATTATTATTACCTTTTGAATAGTTGAAAGATCTCAAGCTCCAAGTTTCGCTGCAAATGCTGTATATTTTTTGGCAATAATTTGGTGACGATTAGCTGCGAAGTGAGTATTGCGAGTAGTATAGTAGGCTGCTGGTTCAATCTGGACGACGGTTCCAATTCCGATTCAAGTCTCAATCTGCCAATGGTTCCTAGTTCAATCAGGCAAAACGTGCTCGTTTTAGGTCTGGGATGTCTCGATTTCGATTCAAAACGTTTATGCCGAATCGGTGTGAAGTTTTTGCACTTTATATCATCGGTTCCGAAGCGGATTTCGAGAAAAAAAAATCGGTCAAACATTCTTTCAGACACGTTAAGCCTTGACATATGATAGGTTGTCCGCACTTGATTCTGTAATCATAAAGGTATTTGCGATGGGAAATCCCCCCCATATTGCGACATCAGACGAGGAGAAGTGTTAAGCGATGAGCATGTAACGAAAAAAAAATTGTCGAGGTTAAATGAAATAATTATTATGAATTTCAAGTGCCCTGGACGATCTGGAATAATTTTAGTTAATTAAAAATCTTCCCTTATCGCTATTTTCAGAGTATTTCCACCGTTTCTAAATGTAAGGCACTAAGGAGAACAAAGTGTGCTTTTTTCTTCGTTTCTTTTAATTTATGTGGTCAAGTCCTTTAGTGTGGTTTTATAAGTTAAGTGACCAATCCGGTATGTAAATATAATAATCATGATTGATTATGATGTAATAGTAATAATATATCTGTAAAGCGCTTAGAGACACTTGTATTAAGCACTATATAAAAGCGGAATATTATTATTATCATTATTTATGTAGAGGAAAGCCTCAATGTATGAGATCATTTTATTAATTTACTTTAATCCTCCCATTTTCCACTTCCAGAGTATGTCGAACATTTCTAAATTATAAAGCTCTAAATAAAACGGGTTATGACATAGACTTTGCACCGGGAGGGCAACTCCAGTTCAAATCAAAGTTGCTTGAAGATTTAAAAAGAAGGAAAAAAACAAATCAAGTCCTTTAAAGAATCTGGCGTTTTTTTTAAGAAGGTACAACTGTGGAGTAAAAGAAAGAAACAAATCGTTTATTCTATTTTGTGTTAGTTGATTTGTGTGTGTGTTCGGTTGTTTGCTTTGGTTTTAGGGCATTGACCCAGTCGTGACTATAGCATATTCTTCTAAATAAAAACTCACTCATTACAATGCCAAGACTCTATATTGATTTTTTTTTAAATGTCATCCCTCTTCAGGCAAACTTTCCAATATCAATTCTATAAACAAAAAAACTGGTAGTACCTTTAAAGTCGCATTGTATTTCGAGGAAAGTTATCTGACATTGCAAACCCTGAAAAGGGGGCTACTGGTGCAAAAAGCAGTTTTAATTTTCTTTTTTGTTTGTTAAAAAAAATCGAGCTTTCTGTGATTTTGCAATGGACGTGAAGGAATGTAAGAACTTGTTATTGATGCCAAATAAGGATATAAGGTATAAAGCCATGTACGTTGGCATCAAGGCACGGATTAATGTATTGCAACAAAACTATTGTGGTATGCAACTCTCAGTAGTATAACTGCTGGGGGACGTATATGTGTCATTTCCGAATCTATCACAGTTGACAATGCTAATTATTCACATGTTTGGAGTCGAACTTAATGAGTTCATGATATGCCTATACTATCAAATTCATGATTATGCCTTCTGAGCTAGATCTCATCCACGTCATCCTGAAGCTGCAGTTATACTGATGGGCGACTTCAATCAAACGGATATTTCCCCCCTAGTTACTTGCGGACCCAATTATAAAGCAAGTACAGCAACTCGTTATGCATGAGTTTGTGTAGATTCTAATAAATAAAGCGGGGGGCTAGGGTAGGGGGCAGTTTCCATAAATTAAAAAAAAAACAGAAAATGCAATAAATTTTCAATAATTTATTGCATTTTACCCCAGTCCACAACATAACAAAATCCTCTCGACGGCCATGCATTATGGCTCAAGGCATAGGCACACCGAGGATTTTTGTTATGTTGGGAACCGGGGTAAAATGCAATAAATTATTGAAAATTTATTGCATTTTCTTCGTTTTTTTCATTTATGGAAACTGCCCCCTACCCTAGCCCCCTACCCCTACCCGCCGCGTACTGTCATTACTGTCATTTATGACATAAGGGCGTAGATCCCCTAGTTGATAAGCATAGTAGCACATGCTTTAGCAGTCACGCGAAACACACATTGTCAAATTCCTATTCAATAAAATTTGAGAATGTATACTATCATTTAGATCTATTATTTTTAAATTATTTTAAAAATAACTCCATAAATTGGGGTAAAAAAAATTAACATTCCAAGTATATGAGCGACAGTGTAGTATGCAGATATTATGGTGTTTGACCCCTCCCCCCCCCTCTCGATCCTCCTCTCCTCTCAAGCCTCATCCCTCTCCAACTTACAAGGTCCTGCGTAGATCCGCCACCACACATACATTGTCATAATAATATAGTTATAGTATGAGAAGGCTTAGATTCAACATCTCACACTTACAAAAAACTGGATTGGTTCTTCTGTTTCCTCATTTTCTCATCTGGGTTTTCCCCGGGTCCACTCATGACTGCTCATATGAAAATAAATAGTATTATCTATATCCTATCCTCCTTTATCAAACGTCGTTGAGTGGGATAACAGTTTTGAGGGGGTTCCAGCCATCATTTACGTCGCCCCCCCCCAATCTCTCTCTCTCTCTCTCTCTCTCTCTCTCTCTGTCACCCCTCCCCCGTTTTGTGACTTCTCTCTCTCTCTCTCTCTCTCTCTCTCTCTCTCTCTCTCCCCCCCCCCCCTTCTTACTCCTTCTCCATATTTCAAAGTCATGCGTGGATTCGCCACCACTCCGATTACGCTTTCACAATACCTTGTTTTTACAGTGAGAGGTAGACTCAACATCTCCCACTAAAAGGTGAAGTTGAGTTCTGGTCATGAGATTGCATTGTGAAAGAAACGGTGTGGAATCGATCAGAAAACGTTGATAATGTAGCATATGAGTATTGGTGTGTGCTGCAAGGATCTTGAATCATCAAAATAATTTCAAAACATGTTTGCCCCAGACAGTCCTAGTAAAGTAACTAGCATTGTACACAGAAATGTGTATATGGGACTACACAAACATGTGGCATAAAGATTTGGGCCTTATTTTTTAAGCTACTTGTCATATTTAGAATATGAAGGCATTTGAGCCATGTTTTTCAGGAATAGTTTTTTTCTCTGATATTCTTCCACACTTGCATGATAACAATGATAAATGCTCATGAATTGTTTTCACCTCTACCCAGAACATCTAACTTCTCTTTAAGTTACAACTGGACTTTTTCATCCGTTTCTTCATTCTCTCATCGGGGTTTTCCCCACACATAAAACAGCAACATCTTTCACATCTTTCTTCTTCTTTCACGTGACGGGTTGGAGCTATGAGAAAAAAACATGGCTGCCGGGAGGGGTAAATGTGTGCGGGAAGGCGGGAAGGGACCCAATCATATTCTCTTAAAATTGCCTCCTCCCCCACCCTCCTTAAAAAAATAATGATATGAAAAATTTCTCTCCCTCTCCACTACTCTCTCTTTCTCGATTTCTCTCTCTCTTTCTCTCTTTATCTCTCTCTTTCTCTCCCCTCACTCTCTCTCCCTCACTCTCTCTCTCTCTCTCTCTCTCTCTCTCTCTCTCTCTCTCTCTCTCTCTCTCTCTATTTAGTTACTACATCTTAATTATTAAAGCATGCTTCTTTTTTTTAGATAAAAGTACGAGCAAACGATGTCAATTATCATTATTATCATTATTTGTATTATCATTATTATTGTTAATATTATTATTTACTATTGTTATTATTATTATTATCATTATCGTTATTATTATCATTAGTAGTAGTAGTGGTAGTAGTAGTTGTAGTAGTAGTAGTAGTAGTAGTAGTAGTAGTAGTAGTAGTAGTAGTGGTGGTAGTAGTAGTAGTAGTAGTAGTAGTAGTAGTAGTAGTAGTAGTAGTAGTACCATTATCATTATTTCTTTCGTACTAGTTCAATGCGGGACTGTGCGTAACGGTCACAAAAGGACAAAATATGCAAGTCACTGCATCCAGTATAAGGTGCATGGTAACATAGAAAGGTCATCCCGAATGTCTTTGAATCAACTTTGATTGATATTTGCCCGAGAGGTACTCCCACTTTTACAATCCGCCGTTATTTATGGCAAATGAACGCGCACGACTGTGCTTCGGCCACTTAGTAATATTATTGATGGAAAATGAAATCGCTTTCAGGACAGGCACATTAATTGTGAAAAGCGCTCCAAATGAGTCACCACTATAGACGGTTCATATATATTTTCATTAAGGAGTCGCCAAAATAGAAATTTATTGAATTGTGTGTGCGCGCATTTAGTACGTACGACCCTTTGTCCGATCCGACACATGAGGTTATGTCTGCGTGCACATTTTCAAAGTGAATGAAGCAATGCATTTTCATGGCTGATATGAATGCAATAGATGAATAATGAAAAAATGGTATTGTACCAATTTTTAACTGTTTAAATATCTCAAAAGCACAGGATATACACATGTACATGTATATCCTGAGGAAGGACATATCAACGGACCCCCAAGGAAGAACAGATCAACTATGTCGGTTGATCTGAAGCGGATGACCCCTCGATCTTGATTTTAATTTGTTTCTTCTTCTAGAATAGTCCTTGTAAAATGTGTTAGTGTTTTGTTTCTTCATGAGTTATAAGGTTTACACTTCATATTTGATGATCGTTAATAAAACGATCCAAACCAACCAACCGTGTATGTATTTTTTAAAACAGAATTTGATGGTGGCTGCAAAAGGGACATAGTATCTTTAAAGGGAATATGCCCCATTTGCAGCCAACATCAAATTCTGCAGAACTTTGCAGGAATTTTGAACATATCACGTATGTCCTATCTGTGAAAATTAAACGTTAGCAGCGTCCTAATATTAAAATCATGCAAGGAACCCGTTTAATTTCTAGACTTCACTGTCAGACACTATTGAGTGACTGACTGGCTTCTTCTTTTTCTTTGGTAATAAACAAACGTAACATGAGCTGTAAAGAACATTTTGTCAACATCAATAATCAAATTCTCCTTATGGCCAAAATTAAACTGAATGAATCTTTGCGCAGCACAAAACGTACGACCATTCGGCACAAGGATCTGGAAATCAGGCTATTACTTTAGTGATTGCAATCACTAAAGTCGATTTGACAATTATTGGTCGCTATTACCCCCACTTTAAGATATTTTCAAGCCCTATTGTTTTGAGGGAAGTTCTAAATTATTACTGTCTTTCAAGTGACGTTGTAATTTAACGTTTTCATTTTTT